CTGGGGGAGGAAAGTTTTGTGTGGCTAGGGACAAAGTTACAGCCTTTGGGAAGGAGGGGGAGGGAGAGAAGAGGAACCGTGCTCTCTCTGCCGGATATCGATGCTTCCTTTTCCTAAGCGGCTACATAAGCCAGGGTCCCGTGCGGGGAAAACTGTCGCTCCGTCAACGGGGAAGGCGGGAAGGGAGGACCGGAGTGGAGAAGTGCAGGGCGGCAGAGGCGTCCCAGTAAACAAGGGCCGTCAGAACTGGAAGCACCCGCGCTGGCGACCCGATGCTCCGCAACAGGTGTTTCCCAACTGACTCGGGGCTAGTCACTGCAAAGTGGAGCCAGCGCTGCTCCCCTCCATTACCCCCGTCGCGCGTTGCAGGAGCGGGTTAATTTTGACATTTAAAAAAAAATTTTTTTAGAAGAGTACAGAATATAAACCAAGTACCACATCAGAAACCTTTGTTGCTGAACTTCTGCTTGCGTGTGGCTGTTTAGGAATTTGAGAATTTCCATTATCACATTAAAGCTTTAAAGCTTCTATTTCATGAAGGCATACCTACATTTCAAGCATCTTTCCAGGGTTAATTTTGACTAACGTGTTTGGATTCCTGGCAGAAACACTTCACCCTTGTTTCCAGATTACCCTCCACCCTGGGACAGGAAAAACTGGAACAGAGGTGCGAGGATGGCTGCGAGGATGGCTGCGATTGCTTTTGGGAGGCGGCTTGTCGGTTTCTTGCGCAACTGTTAGCTTGTGTTACAGGAGCTTTGCCCCTTGGAGCATTTCGCTGGATTGATGCCCTATTGCAGCCACAGCCACATGGCTGCTGCTGCTGCTGCTCCTCAGTTCGGTGCTATTTATGTGACACCCAAAGAGCCTCCTCAAAGAAGCATTTAATTGGCCAAGCATTAATTCCTCCTGGGTGAATGTGTGCACTGGCACCACTGGAGACCCTTATGTTGGAGGTGGTACCCAAACCCTGCTTGTGATGTCCGGTTTGCATGTTGAAGCTGCCATGTACTGAGGCCAGTAATTGGTTCAATCCAGCTCAGCAGCACGGCTGGTGCTCAACAGGGTTTCGTATCGTCTTTTTTCTCCCTACTTAAAATGCCCAAGGGATTGAATTTGGAACTTCTGCATGAACAATCTGTGGTCTATCAACGTTTGATGTTTCTGCTACTGAATGATTAATATTCATGTGAGCACCAATACAAAGAGGCTCCTAGATGCTGTGGAAACTTCTCCCCCATCAAATTTCAGGTTTCGTGCAGGCTTCATCAAAAGTGTTGGTCCCAAAAGCTGGAGGAAAGGCAGGGATGCAAGAAGATGGTGGGCAAATATGATTTCAGTTGGTCTCTAAGGCTTGAACTTACGTAGGTAATTTCAGAAAGGAAAGGACACAAAGTAATTATCACATGATTTCTGTTAACTTTGCATTCACTCTTGTGATTTCAAATAACTTCATGATGGATCAGCTGATTTAAGTGCCGGCCACGCAAAATGACAAGTGTTTTCATACTACGTTTAGGTTCGAACAACATGTTTAACTAGGTCACATATGAAATTTGTCCAGCTTGTTAAGAATAGCTAGTTTGTTGTGGCTTAGCATCTTGTAAGAACCCAACCCTTTCCATTAGTTTATAACTCAGTGGATTGAGTGAATCATGAGTCAGAACTCAGGAGAAAGGAGCAAGGCCTTGTTTTCATTGCTGCCCGACTCAGTGTTAGAAAGGACCCACTTCTGTGTAAAGTTTTTGAGGGGGAACTACTTTACCACGTGTTTGGATTGGCAACATGTTGGAATTCCTTCTTCCCTATCTCTTCAGTTGATATTCTGAAACTTTCACTGGAAGTGGGATGGGAGATGCTAAATGCTTCCTGGAATGCCCCCCCCCCCTATCCAATTAAGTGTGGTGTGTTGGAGGAATTCTCCAAAGGAACATTCATGTTTAGGAACGGATCTGCGCACCCTTCTGGCGAAAGCTACAGTATAACTCACAAAACACCTGATATATGAGCATATATTTTAAAAGCACGAACTCTATCAGGATCAACCTATTTTGCATTATGCATGGAATTGTAGTCTCTTTTGCCAGCTTTTGGCCTCTTCTTGGAATCGTTGCCACATTCTTTCTTTTGCAAGTCTCTACATGTTTACTTAGGAATATGTCCCACTGAAACCAGTAGGCTTTCCTTATGATAAAATCTGCATGGAATTCAGCTCTCAGTTTTTGGTTCCAGCCAGCCATTCACCTGCTCTTTTTCTGCTCTGCCAAAAAGAGGGGCCCCTTGGATGCATCATTTTACTACAGAGAGTAAAAGAGACATTGGTTGCAGCCTGAGACTAGAATAGGCAGCCACACCAAGTAACCACTGAAATTAAAATATAGTTTTTGAGGAATGCCCATCTGACATATTTTATTGTATTTGCTTCCAAGGTTAGGGTTAGGGTCCTTTATAGAAAGGGTATAATTTCTGAGTTTTCAGGATTGCCTGTAGTCCCCAAACCATTTCCCAAATATTGTTGTTGAGTTAAAACAAATGATCATTTTAACTGAATTTACTTCATTTAAATTAATGCTGAAGCTTCATTAAACCAAATAAACCAAATAACCAAATAATGTGTTGTTCCCACCCACTTGCTTCTCCCACCTCCACCCACTCTTTTGCAGTATGCCCTGCACGTGCCAATGAAAGATTAAGGTAGCCCCTGCCCCAAAAGCTTATATCTCTGCTTTGCAACAGTATTGTACAGTAGTTCAAGTGAGACCCTGTCTCCTTTTGGATCATCCAAGCTAAATCCCAATTTAGCAGTGGACTTTGCAAGTTTCTCCATCATCATTAATAGGAAAGGGAAAACCCATGCTAAAATTAGAACTGTATAGAAAATGTGTTTCTCTACAGCTGGATATTGTGTTGATGTCCCCAGTAAGCCTTACGTTGGCAGATGTAATTTCTTTAGTCTCACTCTGGCATTTTAAGTCAGCTTTAACTAAAAAGGCTGTTGTTACATAAAAAGTTAGGGGTTATAGTTTCTGGAAACAAGGACAGAAAGTTGAGGCTAAACTAAGCCAAGCTTGTAGAGGACTTTGATATTGCTATATTGAGGAACGGGGGTAGTTTTCCTGGTGGTTAGAGTGAATGTATAGAACATGGTAAACTTTGTTCCCAGTTAAAAATATGCTCAGAAACATAAACTGTCGTTGTAGAATGGTATGCTTTTCTAAAAGGTTGCTTTAAAAAAAAATCCAAAACTCTCTCCTTTTTTTCTTTCTGCTTTATCATTGTAAAAGATTCTAGAATCTAGAAGGTTGTTAGTTATGTTAGTCTATGCATCAAAAGTAATAAGAACCCTTATGGTGCCTGTAACAATTAACAGATACATTACCCCATAAACATTTCCTACATAAAAGACCCATTAAAATCGCTGTATGGAATGAATTTTGCTCCCCTCATCAAATACCATTTTGAGACCAATTAGCATCCATTGTCTGAATAGGTATTAAAAAGTGAAGACCCCCTTGAATCTAGCTTGATTCTTGGTGACTACACGGACCAGTGTTTCTCAGCCTGGGGAACTTTAAGATGTGTGGACTGGGGAATTCTGGGAGTTGAAGTCCACATATCTTAAAATTCCCAAGGTTGAGAAACACTGACATGGACATTTTCACATCATTAGGGAATGATGCAGATTCCTCTTCACAAACGTTATGACCATTAGAGCAATAAAATAAAGTATCCTTTGAGACACACCTGATTTCTGGTGACATTATTGAGATAATCAGTAGTTTTCTTGGCAACAATTCAGAAGTATTTTGTTACTGACTTTTCTAGAATGTTTTTTTCAACAGCTCAGGGATTTCCTAGTGATCTCCTGTCCAAGGACTAACCAGATCTAACTGTACTTAGTTTTCAAGATCAGCTGCCCTTTGCCTGGGAAAACACACATTATAACAGCCTTATGAGGCAGGTTGTACAAATTGCCTATGGGAAGCATCAGTAACACTGCAGTCCGCTCTTTTCTTCTCCATGTTCATAGAATTTTTTCTTTCTTCCAGTCAATCTCAGAATTATTTCAGCCTCTCAAATTCATTATATTTTTTTTCCTGGTGGAAAGAGAAAAATGGTGCTCTTTTAACGAGAATAACGCAACGTACTGAATGAAAGAGTAATGTCAAAACTATGAGAAAAAAATTTTTTTTTTTTAATTCTGCGCTCAGTCATTGCTGAACCTGCAGTGACTGCTTGGATGAGTCCTTGCAGTTTTCAAGGCAAGGGTTTCGGCAGGGGTTTG